TCCTCCTCCTCCTCCTCCTCCTCCTCCTCTCCTCCACCTGGACCCGGTGGCAAAAAGACAGGAAATGAGAAAGGGCGCAGTGGCAGACCGGTTAGACTCGCACCTTGGTGCTCTACTCCACACCCCCTAGTCCACACAGCAGATGATCAGGTTTTTAACCAACAACAACAACAATGGGGGATGGGGGAGGGTTGGGGATTGGCGCAGCCGAGGACACACTTAGGCGTGCCGTCATATTCAGGTCGGATCCCATGAAGTGGCAGTGACATAAACTCCACATTAAGAAGGAGCCATTGCAGTCTGACTCATAGACCACCAGTTTGCCGATCCGCACGAACACAACACTGGGCCGACAGCGGGGTCTAGGTTATTCCGTCAGTTAGAAACTTTCCAAGCTACGGCATTCGATGCACCGTGATAGCTTCAGGCGCGTCAAATTTCTTACAGCAAGGAAAATAGGCTGAGGAGCCGACCTAACTCTCCCTTCCCATTCTATGCCTGGCCACTGTCCGAGCCGGTCATTTACCAGGTGAGGGGCATGGGTGCGGTTGACCACAGTACGTGCAGAATAAGTTAGCGGTTTCAGTGTCGGTTTCGATTATGGTAAAGGTGGACGCGTTGGCCGATGGGGTTTGTGTCGGGCCAGGTATGTTGGGTGTACAGGGTGTTATAGGTGGGTCGAGATGACGGTGAAGTCTGCTGTCGTAGATACGCATGTGGCCTAGAAGGCCCATGCGGCGACTGAATGTGTGGGGCAGTGAGGACAGTTGGGGCGAGATGGGAGAGCAGAGAGGAGGGAGGTTGTGGAAGGCGGAGGAGGGCGGAGAAAACGTGCGAAAGAAAAAAAAGTAGGCGGTCTTCCAGTCACTTGGTTAGTAACTTGCTGAGTGCTTGTGGTCTCCTGGGGGGTTTGAGACGTGTCGCCACCTCGGAGGTGCCCAGGCGGTGATCCATCCGGCCAGCGGTGGTGTGAGTGGAGCCGAGTTACCGTGTGTGGAGATGCATACACGGATGCCCTCGTCTGGTTTAGTCCGCCGTTCGAGGGGGTTACCTGGGTGGGGCCGCTAAACAGAGGCCCCATTTCGGGAGGCACATGTTTGCACTGGTGCCAGTTAATGAACGCTAGGCGTAGTCTACATCTGCAAGCAAGTGGGTGACCCACTATGACAATTACGTGGACCCACAGCTGGATTTCCCTGTACCCCACACTCGACAGTTCGACCGTCGTTTCCGACAACGTCCACCGTGTGCTCCGCAGCAAAGTATAAGCAAGATGGCGGCTTATGCATGATCTGGTTTATAGTGAAGGTGGATTTGCGCAGCATCTACCGCACTCCCTCCTCCTCATCCTCCTCCCCGACCTGGATCAGGTGTCAAGACATAGAGTGAGTAACCGACCTCATGAATTGTTAGCCGAAATTTTGAAATACGCTGTCGATTAGGAAGGATTACTGAAGTGGGGTTGCAATACTGATTATCGTGCAGCATAATCCCAAAGGAAAGTAATAAACAGGTCTTCAAGAAGGTTCTCAATTCTCGAACAGTTTTGAGTCTGATCAGCCGTTGCAGCAGCGTTTAACGATTTCAGTCAACAATATGTCTGCTTTCCGCATGAAGAAAATCATATATTCCTCTATGTCCTTAAGAATATACCATATATAGTTCATAAAATATTGCAATGAATGCAGAATATGTCGTACATTTCATGAGGAGCATTAATAAATGGACAGGCACGATGCTGTACAATCGGATATTGTTTGGTCATGATTAGACACTTTTTTAAAACTTAAATATACCCATCCTTCAGGAATAAATTAGGAAGAAAATGTGATTTTCTAATAAGCGAGTTAAAGAAGGCCTATGTATGTGAATTTTTTCTAAAAATATATTTGAATTTACAAAAATACCGAAAAGTGCATGGTACATAAGTTGCCATTTTTTTTACCGTGTGCTGTTTCTACAGGAGGTTGAAAAGAAATGCATTCAATGTCCACATCCCGTCAAGTCCAAAATATTATAGAATAATAATCAGTGCGCATGGTGAGTGACATAAGTAAAGAGCGCGCTTATGCCTACCAAAAGTGTCCCGGCTTCTGCCCACCCACGTGCTATATTTCACTAGCAAATTTTCGGGTCTCAAAAAAGTCATTTTTGAGGGGTAATTCCAGCCTGACACTTAATTGAAAACAGGCCTGACATCTTTTGTTTCAGTTGTATCTGCGTCGACATAGTTTACATGCTGGATCTGTCTATTCGTTCCAGAACTTCTGAGCGCCGTTTCATTATTTACCGATCTCAACTTTAGATCCTACAAAGGCAACTAATGTGGGCGGTTTAATTTTCTTGACTGGCTCTGAGAAAACATCCAAGTCTTGACCCCGCAAAAGTGGGTGAGATCGGGCTGCAACGCTGGATACTCAAGTTTGCATGCCAAGCTGGAAGCCGCAGCTCCTCTAACCTAGAAGCCGGAGGCTGCCAATTGCACGGGAACCCCGATTATCATTTCACCCTTGTGCTTAATGCTCCTTGAGATGAAACCCCTTGATACAAGAATTACCATTTCCTCTTCAAATGAAATATTTCTTAAAATGAAACTCCCAAGAAAATTAATTTGCGAGAGCTCAAGTTGTCGACGGTTGCGCAGCGACAAGGTCACCATACCTCCTATGCGACTTCGATATCTAGAAAGGGTGTCAAAGCCGGCCCACAAAAGCCTTCCGTTTTATCCCAAATCTGTAGTCAGAAATCTGAGTGAGAGGTCTGCAAATTTCCCTGCTACGGCCGAGGCAGCAACGTGTGAAAAATGCAGTAAAGTCAAGGTCGGCAAATGCGCATTTTACATTATTCATTACAGAGCGTGTACGACGGTGTAATTCGCAAAGGGTAGACAAAATTGAAAAATTGTCAATGAAATAAATCTGTGGGAGAAGGTGAAAATGTGGCTGTACACTCCAGATCCCAGACATGGGATGTGAAGAGAATGACAGTATCGACGAAACACGAGTCTGGG